TAAACACAACTGAGGCGGCCCTAGGGAAACTTAGCTTTCTCAACGGCCGTCTTACTTTTTAGTCATAAAAATTTCCTTTCATAAAATTTAAACCTTTAAAAATACTGACCATACCAATGGTCCGCACAAACTATTTTTTCCAAAATCACTGAAGGTTGAAACGCCTCACTGCCCGAAACGGCTCAGGAAACGCCTACTAATCCTTTGATTCAGGAGGGAAATCTTTACAAGGTCCGCCCTTCCTCCAGAGGGAGCAAAAAACAAGGCCTCGATAAAATATCTTAAGAATAGATTTTAATGAAAAAAATCTTTGAGGACAATTATTAAAATCGTTTTTATGCTACTTTTTTTGAGCACTGGGAGGGGGTGAATAATTTTTACATGGTGCACATCGTTTTTTCAATTTACCAACACTCAAATCGACTTAAAAAGAGGAAAACATGAAATAACAATGTATGAAATGCGCGTTTTATGTGAGGGGCGCCTCTCGCGTCTACTCCCTCAGATAATATGTCTGCAATTTGTTTGGAAAAGGATATTACAGCCTTAATCTCTTCTCCTCTTCTCCCATTTGTGGAAGAGGATTTGGCAGAACGCGCTGAGTTTACTAAATAACCCGTACATTAGATCCTTCATAAAGAAACAAAATATTGACAAAACCTTATAAATTATTGTACATATTAACTGTACAATAAAGAGGGTTCTATGGTTAATAACGAAATTTCTTATTCCGCAGCTCGGGAAAATCTAAAAAAACACTTTGATAAGGTTTGTGATGACCACGAGCCTTTACTCATCAGTCGCAGAAATGGTGATAATATTGTTGTTGTTTCCGAAGAAGACTACAGGGCTTTGGAAGAAACTGCCTACCTTTCTAAGTCTCCTAAAAATCTTAAGAGACTTCTTGAAGCGCTTTCTAGAGATTCTGGATTATCATTGGAAAGTCTAAAAAATGATCTTGGAATTTGATATTAATGCGGTGGAAGATTTAACTTATTGGGTCAAAAAAGAGAAAAGAAAAGCGGGAAAAATATTGAAGCTTGTGCAATCGATTTCACAGGATCCTTTTAAAGGAGCGGGTAAACCAGAACCCTTAAAGTTTAATCTTTCTGGATGTTGGTCCCGGCGCATCGATCAAGAACATCGGCTTGTCTATACAGTTCAAGAGAATAAAATCAGAATTCTGAGCTGTCGATATCATTATTAATTGTGCCGTCCTGCAATCATAATCACTAAATCTCGCAATCATCGGGATTTTTTGTCCCACAAGTAAGTGACTTTATAAATCCGTCCTATCTCACATTAAATGCCTCTATATCATATAAAAAGAAAAGGATAGTTTAGAGTAACAGTGAAAATTAAACTCCCATACACTTGATAAAAGAATAGAAATTATTCATGATGATACCAATTATGTTTTTATCTTTGTATAAACAATACATTATTGGTGTACGGACATGTATGTTATGTATGATCAAATCTCAAAACACAGTCCAAAAAATGTCAGTTTATTAGAGTTAGAGGGAAGACTTTCCAAACATCTTTTAAGGATAAAAGACAATTATTAAAGAGATTTAGATTTGTATGAGTGAGCTAAGGGCAGTTATTATTGCAGGTGGTTTAGGGACTAGATTTAGAAATGTTTCTAAAAATATTCCTAAGTGTCTTGCATTAATTTCTGGAACTCCTGTTCTTAATATTCAGATAGAATTACTTATAAAAAATAATATAAAATACATCTACATTTCTAGCGGTTATTTAACTGAACAAGTTCAAAATTATATCGATAATTCTGAAAAATATAGAAACATTGTAACCACTATTCCAGATAAGTGGCCTGCTGGTTCGGGGGGATGTCTTCAGTTTCTTCCAAAGATGAATCAACCAGTCCTTGTACTATTTGGTGATATAGTTCTACAGGTTAACATAGACCTTTTTATTAAATTCCATAATAAACAGAGAGGATTGGCCACAATTGCTTTACAGAAGAATGATCATCCACATGAAAGTGATATTATAGAAATCAATTCAGATCATCGATGTATAAGTATCCACCGTAAGCCCCATGTTACATCTCACATTCCACCTGGATTTATGGTAGGGGGGTTATTTATTATCGAACCTTCTATCTTAAATAAGTCTTTGCAGTTCTTTCAAGATAAGGCCGATCTTGTACAAGATATACTAGCTCCAGAAATTGAGAAAGGATCTGCCTTGTATGGGTATGTTACTGAAGAATTTATGGATGATATCGGCACTCCTGAAAGATTTAAGCGCATAAACAATGAATGGAAAGATAAAAAAGGTTAAAGACAACCTTGTAGACTGCTAACTAAAGTGCCTTATATAGTTTCTGAAACACCCTTCAGGGTAAGTTTTGTGAGTGGAAGGTAGTGATCTTCCACCTTACTCTCCAGATCTTAATCCTATTGAACACAAGTGGGCTTAAGCTAAAGCCAAACGAAGAAAGCTTAATTATGACCTACAACAACTTTTTCAGAATGCTGCCGTTTCCACATTTGTGCATAAATTCCTTTCTTTTGTAGTAAAATTTCATGTGTACCTTTTTCAATAATATTTCCATGATCTAGTACTAGGATTTGATTGGCATGAATAATAGTAGAAAGTCGGTGTGCAATGATTAGTGTGGTCCGATTTTTAGAAATTTCCTGAATATTTTTTTGAATTTCTTTTTCAGTTTCTGTATCTAAAGCAGAAGTGGCCTCATCAAATAAATAAATATAGGGGTTCTTTAAGATTATTCTTGCAATAGCAACACGTTGCTTTTCACCACCAGAAAGTTTAATTCCCCTTTCCCCTACTTGGGTCTCATAACCAAGAGGAAGTTGCTCTACAAAATTATTAAGATGTGCTAATTGCACAGCTTTATAAACTTTTTCCTTTGTTTGATGAGGGTTGCTATAAGATAAATTATAATAAAGGGTTTCATTAAATAGAACTGTATCTTGAGGAACAATTCCAATAGCGTTTCTTAAGGAAATCTGAGTAACTTTTCGAATATCTTGTCCGTCAATAAGAATTCTTCCTTTTGTAACGTCATAAAATCGAAAAAGGAGTCGAGAAATCGTAGATTTTCCAGCTCCACTAGCGCCTACAATAGCAACTGTTTGCCCACTGGGGACCTTAAAAGAAATATTTTCTAAAATAGAATTATCTAGAGAATAAGAAAAACTTACATTTTCAAAAACGACCTCCCCTTTTTTTATTTCAAGAGGTCGAGCATCAGGACAATCTAAAATTTCCTTTTTTTCTTTCAAAATTGCAAACATTGACTCCATATTTACTAGAGATAGTTTGATTTCTTTGTAGGCAAATCCTAGCTGTCCAAGAGGAATATAAATCTGAAGAAGGTATGTATTTAAAAGAATAAAATCTCCAACAGTTTTAGACCCATTTTGAATATCCCAAACAAATAATGAAGTTATAACCATTAACCCAGTGGCAATAATGAGATTTTGTCCTACATTCATTATCCCAAAGGATATTTTACTTTTAAGTGCCGTTTTTTGGTACTTTGTTAAACAAGCGTCATATCTGTCATTTTCTAGCTCCTCATTGGTGAAATACTTTACGGTTTCATAATTTAAAAGGCTGTCAGTAGACACAGCATTAGACATAGTATCTTCTTTGTTAAGATTGCGTATAATATGGAGTCGTTTTTGAGTAATAGAAAAAGTAAAAAGTGTATATAAAACAAACATAAATATTGTAATTATAGTATAGTACCACTCATAAAGAATATATAGGATACAAGATACTAAACAAATTTCAATAAAAGAAGGAATAATAAAGAAAACAGAATGTCCTAAAAATGTTTCTACACTTTTAACTCCTCTCTCGATAGAGCGAGAAATACCTCCTGTTTTTCGATCAAGATGATACCTTAAACTTAAGTCATGCAGGGCTTTGAAAATGTCTAAAGAAATAAGACGAAAAGCTCTCTGATTTACCCATGAAAAAAGGATATCCTTAAAATCTGAAAAAGTTTGAGCGAAAAGACGTGCTATTCCATAAGATAGAACCAGTATAAAAGGAGTCATTGAAACACTGGTAGTGTTGCAAGAGAGATTATCAACAATATTTTTTAAAATAAAAGGAACCGTTACTGTAGAAATTTTTGAGGCTAGTAGAAAAAAAATAGAAAAACAGACAAAAAATCGGGTTTTAATATGAAGTGGCCAAATATATTTGCCCAACAGAAAAAAAATGTTTTTGTCCAAATAATTTTTGAGATTTTTCATTTAAATTGCCACTTTTTTAATTTAAAAAAATTATGAAAGTATACCCATTGGAGTCCAAATATGAAATTCAGGAGTGGGTGGGTGTCATGAAACTGGTATTTTTTGGGATCTAATACATTGGTACAAATTTTACTTCACTTTTGTTGATTTGTTTCACAGAAATACTTTACTTCTATAAGAGCGTGCAGTAAGGCCATATGTCCTACTTCAACAGTTCCATAATGCTGAGCAGGATAGTAGAATGATAAATTAGATCCAATATTCCATAACTTATTGTCAGATTTAAAGCCAGATAAAGAGATATTCCTTACCTTTTTATCATTAGCTTCGCTAATACATTTCAAAATATTTTCCGAATTACCAGAACTTGAGATAGCAATAAGTAAATCATTCTCTTTTAAAAGAGTTCTTAGGGGTCGAGCATAAACTTCTTCATAACCAAAATCATTTGAGATGCAAGTCAAAAGAGAAGAATCATTTAATGCCACAGAATTAATATTCAATTTTCCGAGAACATCTTGTGAAAGGTGTGAGCAAACTGCACTACTTCCACCATTTCCAATCCACCATATTGTCCCCCTAGCTTTTTGGACTTTCTTCAGCAATTGGTTAAAAACTTGTTCTCCTTTTTGAAACGAAACCTCTTCTCCAAAAACTCTTACCTGGGTTTGTTTAAGTTGGCTGCTCAATTCTAAAAACCAATCTTTAGTGGAATAAATACTCATTTAAGCTTTCCTTTTAAAAATTCGTTAACTGAGAGCCCTTGAGATCAAAATCAAATGTAAGGGTTTTTAATCCAAGTTTTTTCTCAAGGTAATCATGGTCATTATGTACTAAAAGAAAAAACCCTCCTCCTCCTGCGCCTAGTAACTTCCCCCCAGAGGCACCATAAGATAAAGCTTTATTATATATCTCATCAATAGTAGAATTACTAATTGATTGATCTAATTCTTTTTTTCTTATCCAAGTCTCGTGTAATAAAGGTCCTATAGTATTAGTTTCATTAGATTCTAGATCTTTTCTCAATATGTCAACTTGTTCAACCATCTTCTTTAGAAGAATAACTTTCTTCTTTCTATTTTTGAGACTATTTTGTCTTTTAAGTAAAGTATTTGTAGATCTTGTACTACCTAGAAAATAAAGCCTCAAATGTTGTTTTAAATTTTGTCTTGTTGAAGAAGAAAGTTTCAGAGGGATGACTTCTACCTTTTTTCCTTTTTGAAAACGAAAGACGTTGAATCCTCCAAACGAAGCAGCATATTGATCTTGTTTTCCAATAGGTGAATTCAAAGTATGAATTTCAATATTACAGGCTTCTTCAGCTAATTGTCTTGGGTTTATGCTTTGAAGATTATAGCGATATAAAGCATGAAGGAGTCCCACTGTAAAAGCACTTGAAGAACTTAATCCTGTACCTGCTGGAACATCAGAAATAGAAGCAATTTCTAACCCTGGCCCCATATTCATTTTACTTAAACACGCTTTAATAATTGGATGTTGAATGTATTTTATGTGATCCACATCCTCTACTTCTGAGTACTTCAAACGAATATAATGTTTATTAAAATAAGGATGAACAACAATGTACATATATTTTTGGATTGTTGTACTAATAACCGCACCTCCCGTATCTACTGATTCATAAAACCACTCAACATCACTTCCACCCCCTAGAAAACTAACTCGAAAAGGAGTTTTTGATATAATCATTATTTTCTTCCTTCATAAAAATTGTAACTTTATTGTAATTAAGAAAAATTTAGATCTTTTGAGAGGCAAAAAATTGATATTATAGTTGCGAGATTTTAGAAAATAAAATTTTCTTTTTTGGGTTTTATTTCTCCCTAATTTAATAGGCAAGGTTATTGTTACTCATTAATCATTTATAATATCAATAGTGATTGATTTAAATGAAAAAAACTCTAAATTTATATATATTTTGTGAATTTCCAATACATTTAAAACCATGGTGTATTAAGATGAGAAATTTCTTTGTAACTTTACTGTTCTTTTTTTCATCTCATTTAGAGGGAGCCTCTCTTAGTCAACAAGTCAAATCCTGTCAGGTATCACTAGATTTTGCAATTCAGGGAAAATGGGAGAAAGTTTCTATCTTTTTAAAAGAAAAAAAATGTCCAGATGTAAATAAATTAATTTTATGGCTAGATTTAAAGAGAAAAAATACACGTCGTTCACCTCAAACTTGTGTTAATTTTATTGATCAAAACCCAAATTGGCCTTGGATACACATAATTCGGAAAAATTTGGAACAGATTTGGAGCCAAAAACAAATTCCACAGTTGCCAGATGGGTGGTTTAAAAAATATCCTCCATCAACTCTAGAGGGAGCTCATGTTTATATTCAGTCCCTTATTTTAAAAAACCAGAAAGAGAAGGCCCGCCAATGGATTCGCAAATCATGGAAAAGACTCAGTGCATATTCAGAAGAATTTGAGGAGATATTTCATAAAAATTATAAATCCCATATTCAAAAAGAGGACTATTTTAATAGAATTGACTTTCTTATTTGGAACCAGAAATATAAAGACGCTAAAAAGTATATTTCTTACCTTTCTACGGATAAAAGAAACCTAATTCAAGCTCGTATTGCTCTTTTAAATCTTTCTCCTTCTGCACAAAAGAAATATAAAGAAACAATTCAAAAGCATAAAGAAGATCAAGGTTTATCCTATGCCTATATTTATTGGTTATGGAAGAAGAATAAACAAGAATCTATTCTAGTTTTTGCGAATTTTTGGCAGCCTAATTTAGCCTTAAAATATCAAAATCAATGGAATCGATTAGCCTTTGGCATTGTTCGAGAAGGGATGAAATTTCAACAATATCAAAAATCTTACAATATATTGAAGAAAATAAAAAAAACTCCTCAAAATCAAGCCGAACTTTATTGGCTTTCTGGTTTTATCTCTATTGCTTTTTTGAAAAAACCAAGACAAGCAATTCAACATTTTCAAAATATTCTAAAAATTAATACAAAAAAGAAAAATTATTCTCAAGCTCTTTATTGGATGGGACGCTCTTACGAAAACTTACATCAGCCTGAAAAAGCCAAAAGAATTTATAAAAAAGCTGCAGATAACTATCCAACTACTTATTATGGACAAAGATCTTTTCAAAAGATTGGAAGAGCTTATAATCCTGAATCCGTTGGTCATCTTTCTATTTCCCAAAAAATTAAAGATAAAATTAATTCTGATGAGTTCATACGTATGGTAAAAATTTTTTCTCATATAGAAGAACCAAGAGAAGCATTACCTTTTATTTACTTGCTTATAGTGCGCGCTAAAAGTCTAGAAGAGAAAGCTTATCTTTTAGAAATGACTCAAAAACTTATTCCTATTTATCTGGTAGATATGGCATATTTATTAGATGATAATCTCCCTTTTCTCAAAATTTCCTACCCCACTCCTCCTTTAGCTTGGCAACATCCCAACTTAGATAACAGCCTTGTGTTAGGGATGATCTGGAAAGAAAGCGGATTTAACCCAACAGCAAAAAGCTCAGCAGGCGCACATGGACTTCTTCAATTAATGCCTAAAACTGCAAAAACTATCTCTCAAAATCTAAATATACCTTTTCAAATGAATAAGATTTACGATCCTGCATATAATTTAAAGCTGGGGCAAACATATATGCAAAAAATGCTTCGCTTATTTAATGGTTCACAAGTACTTGCTTTGAGTGCTTATGATGCAGGTCCTGGGAATGTCAAAAAGTGGATTCAGTGTTATGGAGATCCCCGAAAAACTGTAGACCAAGATATATGGATTGAACAAATTCCCTTTGGAGAAACAAGGTTTTATATTAAAATTGTCTTATCTAAAAAAAACATTTATGATTTTATCATCAAAAAAACTGAATCGAAATAAAAAAAGATATCTCTTGAAATTTTCAAATATTCTGATCTCTATGGCATTGTTAACAACATAAATTAAGAGCTTTCATAGTAGCAAGCACAAAGAATGCAAAGAACCTAGTTTCAATCTTACCGAAACGCAGGGCGCTCCTCTTATTTTCTTTGAGGTGGTCAAAAAAGCCCTCGATAGATGAGGGTGTTTTGTATCTTTCTTTGTCTTGTACGCCTGGACAAACCGCTCCTTTCCATCTGGGAATCACAGGTGTTTCGGCCTTTTTTCGAATAGCCTGACGAACATCTTAATAATCATAGCCTTTGTCAGCGATCACACACCGAATATCCTCCTAGTCTTACTTTATTCCATAGATGAGCAAATACCTTCATGTTGACTCTCTGTCCTTCAGATAAACAGGCGCTTTCAAGTCGTCCAAAAGACAAGGCAACATGTCAGTCCTTTGTGCCCCCCTTTTTAAGGCTGCCTCCTCCACAGAGGTGAACAGAAACTGTTGTTGACTCAACTCAACCGATGTCCAGCTTGACCTTCTTTTTTGCTGCAGGCCATAAAGAAAGGACCAGAAAAATCCGCTTTCACTCCATCGTTTGAAGATCCAAAGCTCTTGCCAGGGAATCCTCGTTCTCAGAACAAATAAGGCTGCACTGGACGACCAGAACGATTGTGAAACTTTGCGATTAAAGAGGTTATATTTTCCCTTAAAATTCTTCATCACTAATACCGGTCAGGAGAACTTTAAAACATTTAGGTTTTTTATTAACAGTTCCATAGTAAAAACTCAGATCAGCTATGACATAAATATCGCATATAAGTTTTATTTGTTAGAGTAACTTGGATATTGATGTTAACAAAATTAATTGTTAGCATGTTGATGCTCCTTCAATGTGAAGGAAGCGTATTTTGTGTTCACAAGGAGCGAATTATGCAAAAAAATAAAGTCGTAAAGAACGTAAAAACAACTAAACTAAGCACTATTAACCAAATTGATATGGCTAATGTTTTAAGAGGTTGTTGTACACAAGGTTGTTGCTAATTATATAAGCAATACTTAAGGCGGGTAGGAAATAGCTTTCTTGCCCGCTCTTTATTTACTTCTAAGAGTTGAAAACTATGAAAGCTAATCAATTTTGGTGGCCTCTGGATTTGTCTGAGAGTGAACAAAGTGCTTTGGAGGAATTTAAGGCTAACATTTTGAAGCAAAAACCAAAGATCAACCAAACACTTAATAAGCAAGTTATTGATAAACTTGATAGGTTAATGAAAATTAATCTGGCAGATATCATAGAAAAAGATGGGCTCCCTCATCATTGCCATTTAATTAATGGATGGGGAAATTCAGTGTATAGAGGAGAGAAGCTAATTCATGGAATAGAGCTATTTGCTCATTGCAATGCTAATGGAGATCACTTTATCCTCCAGTGTAATGCAGAAGGAGATTTTCACCCCTGGCAGAGCTTTGCCTATGCTATTATGGCTGGAATTGACCCTAATATGTCTTTATCTATACAAGGATTTACATTAACATCGTTATCCAAAAACAGTAGAGAAATTAATACGGACAAAGGAATTGAACTTGGACATCTTCTTTTTGCCCTATCTCATCTGGAGCCTACAAAAGATATTAAACCATTTTACCTAAAAGGTAAAGAACACAGTGTAAGAAATCTCATGGAGTTAGCAGTAGAAGCTCATCATTATGGAAGCTTTGATGTATGTAGAAAATTCCATTTAACAGAGGGGTTATGTGCTGCTTCTGTCAAGATTCCTGGATTAGAAAACTATCAGAAAGAGGCCCAAGGATTTCTTGATGGTCAATTAGACATGCTACTGCTCTTAGGGATAGTTCTTCAAGAAGTAAGAAAGTCTATAGAGAATAATTTTTCTGTTAGGGAAGATTCTTTGCTTTTTAAATTAAGAGATACTTTAAGGTTTGGGCATCTAATAGAAAATCATGTTTATTATGCAGGGCACTTAATTGAGCTTGCAGGATTTGCGGCGAGTTTTGGATTCAAAGTAAAGTCAGAGCATTGGTACACAATGAATTATATTATCAATGAACTCAATTTAACATTCCCAGAATACTTATCTCATGTATCTTTTCAAGAGCATTTTTATGCTTTTGGGCACTATCGACGGGCGGTTACTTTGCTTCAAGAAGTTGAAAAACGAAGAAAAAGCGCGAATGAGTTAGTTCGAGAAGACCTTGAGAAGTTTTCCATTAACTTTGATAAATTATTGTTTGATAAATCTGAGTTTAGCAAAAAACAACAAAAACCCCCATCAATTGACGATGGTGGGGTTTATAATATTTCGTTTATTTCTCGAACTCCTAGGGAGAAATTTAGTAATATTATTAAGGAATATAGTAATAGTGCTCCTCAAGTTTTGAAACCTAGAGGTAAATTTGAACATTTTAGACGTATAGGCCCTCCAACTTGGCCTAGAGCTTTCCATTACGAGCTTTTAGATTACAACGATAAGTTTGGTATTGAGATTCACCTAGAAAGTGCTTCTGTGGTAAAAGTTCTTCCGTTTGTTAAAGATCTTTACCAAAAAATAAAGGATTTATTT